AGTCGATCCGAAACCAGGAACCAAGAGCCTCTTCCAGGTCTCCCACACAGGTGCAGGGTCCTAAGGCTTTAGGCCATCTTCGTCTGCTTCCCCAGGCCACAGGCAGGGAGCTGGATTGGGAAGTGGTGCTGCCGGGATTAGAACCTGGGCCCATATGGGATGCTGCACTTGAAGGTAGATCATTAGCCAGTTAAGTCATCACGCTGGGCCCTACGTGCACTAGAGTGTACTGGGGTGGCTTGAGGCAGATTTCTTTTCTGGGCATCAGTATGTTCTCCAGGCATACTCCCTCCATGCCCAGCTGTAGTCACTTCCATAGCTTTGTAATACATCCACTAATAAGGCACCTCCTAGGCTTCCCCACATTCCCCCTGAACGACTTCCCTGAAGACTGTCACAGCTAACAGGTGCCCCAGGGATGGTCGCCCCAGCCCCGCTCTCAGGATCTACACCCATCATAAACTTCAGCCTGCAGAGCGCCATGGTTGGAACATGTATAAATGAGGTCTGGCCTGCAGCCTGAAGAAATGGGTAGTGACCCCTTCTCTCTTAACACCCCTTATTCTTTAGAGATCTCTTTACTGCCCTGCCGATTCTCAGACCTTGAAATTCTACCAATAAGCCTCTCATGCCAATCCATTAGTATTATAGTTCATGTTTAATTACGTCAAACATTTACTGTTCATATTGTGCAGTCCCTAATTAAATCCTGGTTAGGCACTAACACTAAAGACTTGAAGAAAAGATTTATTAAGAATGGATTAGCATCCAGCATATATTTAAGATTTTAATATCAAAAACTCAGAACATTGAAAAAAATTAAACCTGACAATTTATAAAGGAAGCAGAATTAATGATAGTAATACTCACCAAAATATTCAAATTTAAGGCTGGTATATAGAAACCGGAGTAGTGGCATGTCAGCTTAACTCTCTCCCTGTGTTGCCAACAACCTAAAATCCTGGTTCCTCTACTTCTGATCACTAATGGTGTGGAAAAGCAGCAGCAGATGGGCCCAAGGCTTTGGGCCCTTGCACCCACATGGGAGACTTGGAAAAATTTTACTGGCGCCCAGTTTTGCCTAGCCCACCTCTGGCTATTGCAGCCATTTGGGGAGTGAATCAGCACCAGAGAATCTCTGCTCTTCCTTCTCTTTCAAGTACAATAAATCTTTTTAAATTGGTTAACACCAAGTGCAAAGGGCAATCAAATCACCCTGAAAGCCTGTTGGTGTCAATTAGATGGCAATCTCAGTCTGTCAAAATACTCAGTGTGGGACTCTTCAGATGCAGCTTTCCATTTGCCTCTATTCACCCTAGAAAAAGTCACAGAAACACTGGGTCACATACAGTCTCTGTAAAATTGTTGGTTAAGGGGCCCAGCTGCATGGTAGCCTAGCAGCTAAAGTCCTCACTTTGAACGCACCTATCCCATATGGGCGCCGGTTCTAATCCTGGCAGCTCCACTTCCCATCCAGCTCCCTGCTTGTGGCCTAGGAAAGCAGTTGAGGAAGACCCAAAGCCTTGGGACCCTGCACCCAAGTGGGAGACCTGGAGGAGGTTCCTGGCTCCTGGCTTCAGATCGGCGCAGCACCAGCCATTGCGGTCACTTGGGGAGTGAATCATTGGATGGAAGATCTTCCTCTCTGTATATCTTTGTAAAAAATAAATAAAAATCTTTAAAAAAAATTATTGGTCAAAATTTAAAATTGGAAGCAATCACGCTGCAGGCAGCTTATAAAAAATGAAAGTGTTGGGTCTGTTGTGGTAGCTTAGCAGCTAAAGTTCTCGCCTTGCATGCACAAGATCCCATATGGGTACCGGTTCTAATGCCGGCAACCCTGCTTCCCATTCAGCTCCCTGCATGTGACCTAGGAAAGCAGTGGAGGATGGTCCAAAGTCTTGGGACCCTGCATGGAGAAGAGGCTCCTGGTTTCAGATCAGTGCAGCTCCAGTCATTGCAGCCACTTGGGGAGTGAATCATCCACACGGAAGATCTTTCTGTCTCTCCTTCTCTCTGAATATGACTTTCCAATTTTAAAAAAAGGAAACCTTAAAAAAAAAAAAAAAAAAACTTAAAGCAAGACTTGATAAGGAAGAGCAGGACAGACCGGAATCTTGAGTTCACAGACTGCCCCATGCAGGAGACTGAAGTCAAACTCTGCAGGCGACAGTCTGCGAGTGAGCAAGCCTGAGACCAGGGTCGAGGTCTGTGGGCAAGGCTCTGCAGTTGGGCAATGGTCCAAGGCCACAGGACTGTATGCTTTACGATATCCTGAGCCAGTCACGTGCTGACTTCTGTTCGTGGGATCACGCTGTTGCTTCCTGATCAAGCATTGGCGGGTTAACATCAACATGGAACGCGGCCATCAATGTTTGTGCCACATCAAATCCTGTAATTTGATTCCCCAAGCAGTTCACTAAGATTGAGGCAGCGAGCCTTCCAGGTCAACCTCCTTCCTCAGAGAAGAGGGTGTCCCTCTGACCACCTGCTTCTGTAGTCTTTGTTGTCTCTTCTTTTCTCAATCGCACATCACCCCCTTTCCTACCCCGATTGTGCTGCTGCAAAGGTGGTAAAAAATCATTCAATTCGTAAGTACCCACATTAGCTAGGGTACTGGTATTATGAAGATACTTCAAAAAGCTGAGGAAAAATGAAAGACAACACAGCATGGGAGCCTGGTGTCCCTCCAAGTGGGACACCCACAGCTTGTGTAGTACCTCTATTCTAGTCCTGGGCCTACTTCCTCCTAATGTGCTCTCTGGGACATGGCAGGTGATGGTTAAAGCCATCGGGTCCCTGCCAAGCACCGGCGAGGTCAAGATTGAATTCCTGGCTCTCTTGGTATTGGTATAGCCACTCCCTGACCATTGTAGAACCCTCTCAAAATTTAAAGTTTTAGGATAATGCACATTTTCCATTAACATTTTGAACCCTCCCCCCCCCATATATATTCCAACAGAGAAAGGAAGAATTGGTTGTTGTGGCACATAAAGCTGCTGCTTGGGACACATTTTCTAGTGGAGTATGTTCTTCTATTTCCAGCTACTCTGTCCTTTCAATCCAGTTTCCTGCTTGAGCAGCAGCATTGGATGTCCTAAATACTTGGGTTCCTGCCACCCACGTATGAGACCCAGAGGGAGTTTCTGGTCTCTGGCTTCAGCCTGGTCCAGTCCTGGTGGTAGAAGTATTTGGGGAGTAGACCAGCAGACAGAAGCTCTCTCCCTGCTAGAACTATAAGGATGACGCAGGACAGACAAAAATGAAGACATGAAAACTCTATCTTGATCTTTTTCTTCTGGCCTATATGAAATGTGAGTCGATTTATTCTGAAGCAACTATTATTAGTCAAAATACATCAAACAGAACATTTCATTTCAACACATCAGAGCTGGTGTTGTGCTGCATTGGGTAAGACATCACAACCAGTGCCAACATTGAGTCCCAGCTCTCCATTCATATGTCTAGGAAAGCAAAGATGGCCCAAGTGCTTGGACTACTGCCACTAGGCGAGAAACCTGGAGGGAGATTCAGGCTCCTGCCTTTGGCCTGGGTCCAGCCTCAGCCATCAAGTCTAGTTGGGGAAAAGAACCAGTGCATGGCCCTATCTGTGCAGCTGCAGTTCTTTCAAGTAAAACCTTTTTTAAAATGTAAAACACAAGTTTTCAATACATTGAATAATAGGCAAAGGTCAGTAAAACCTAAAAGAAACTACTGACCTAATGGAGTGCCTTAGGTTACTGGGAAGGCCAATCTAGACACAGCCTGACGAAGTGTCAGAGTTCAGGAGATGGAACTGAGAAATCATGAGCTGAAGGCAACCAGTTTCCCTGGCCAGAGAGAAGAGATGATCCCAGAAACCCACACCAAGTGTACCCCAGGATTGCAGCAGGCCAACACACACACACACTGGGGAAGGAAATCTTCCTGTTGGGGCAAAGGCTCAGAAGCAGTTTCTAGAACTCTACCATGCCTGAGCTGGAGCCGATTCTGATTCACACACCACAAAATCTCTAGAGCACTGGGTACTTAGCAGGGTCTTTCCTCAATACTGGGAGAGCCACCAATGCTAATACAGACGCTGCTGCTCTCACTCAATGCATAGTGCATAAGAGAAACCCACTCCACAGACCCCACCCCCCCAAAAAAAAGGCAGCTGCTTTCAACCACGTTCCAGATCAGGCATAAAATTGTTACAGAAATAGTTTGTCCAGCAAAATTAAATTTACAACGTAGGGCATTCAATAGGAAAAGAAAACACCAATGGAGCACATGTTTGTGTTTAACCCGCCCATGTCCCATAGCAAAGTATGTGGTTTTGAAACTTGGCTCTGGTGCCTGACTCAAGCAACAGGTGATGATTTGAGTAATTGTCGAGTACCACCACCTGGGCAACCTGGACTGCTTCCAGATCTCAGCTCCGATCTGGCCAGACCCAGCTAGCCACTGCTGACAACTGGGATATGACCCAGCAGATGAGGGCACACTTCTACCTCTCAAATAATAAAAACACAAATAACCATGGAGAGAAATGGGAAAATACAGCCACTGTTGGGCAGAAAAAAAAATTCAAAGTGACATGAAGAGAACCAGACTGCCCATGTTGCTGTGTAGCATGGTAATGAATACTTGCACCATGTAAACAGAAGCCCAATTTTACTTTGTATACAAACTAAAAAGAAGCCAAGGTCACAAAACAATAAGATTTTCAGAAATATAAAAGAATATGTTTTTCCTATTAATTCTTGGTAACCCATGGCAGGGTGTGTATTCATTTGGGTTAGATCAATTTGCATGTCCTTCCCATAGGCATGCCTCCAACTATTCCTCCTGAAGCTCATCTTCTTCACTGAAGAATATATACATTAGTTATCATCTGTTATCTTACTAAATCATAAAAAGCCACTCCCTACACCACCACCAAATGAACTAAGGTAAATCTACTAGCATGACATTTTGTATCAAAATAAAACAACATACTTCAGACAATAAGAGTTTAATTCAATAAACATGTAGATTTATTTTAAATCAGTTTGGTACATGATACAGATTGGTTTTGCCAAACTAAAATATAAATTTCTAAACACAGCAGTGTCTGCCTGTGCAACAAGTATCTGTAAGGTAAAATAAGGTACTTGACAGAACTACATCTGCATGGACAAATCAGATGAAAAATCTGAAGAGGTTTCCATATATTTTCAGGATTTAAAAAAACAATCCAAAATTATTAATGGCTCAAGATACCACACTGCTAAAGGGGAGCAGGAGATGGTGGGGGAGTCAGGAAAAGGCTGTTGAGTTCTGTTACAAGAGCTCACTTGCAGATCTGCAAAATCTCAGGGATTTCAACAGAATGTTTTTGCTGTCAGAGTGTGCTGGAAAACGAGGAAGCCTCAACTCAAGCTGCATTTTCACATTTGCTTCCTGCTGGACACTAACATGTGGCAAGGAACACATACTAAACGAAGTAACTACACTGTAGCTAATTTTGCCACCTTAAGAAGAATGGAAACTTTTTGCAATTTTCAAATGAATCTTGTGGCACTCTATAAAAGCTAACAGCCATGGCACCATAATAAACTTCTGAGGTACCTAGAATAGTACTACCAATGGGAAACTGAAAATGTGAGGTAAACCTACCTTTCCCCAAAAACCTTTGAAGCCAGAGATTTTAAACAATTAAGGCACTTGAAAATATTAGGTGTATGTACAATGTGCAAGTAAAACAAACTTCAGCTGTACCAGTAAGTAACAAAGGAAACAGTAAATCTTCACCCAAGAACCTTTAATACCATCCGCTAAATGCAAGGAGTTTCATTTTAGGAAACAAACCAAAGCAATTTGTCATTCCCTGTTATAAAATATTGAAAACTAAGTGCTACATTCAGCCAAGAAGGCTAAAGAAACGACAACAACAACAACAAAAACTTTTATGACCTAGACAAGAAAAGTCCATTTTAAACTAAGAAAAGCCTCTGAGCTCATCCAGTGTGTCAAAGGCCAAGGAAGAAGTGACCCACTGGGAGGGGAGGGAGGAAACTAGAAAAACTCTAGTACAAGGCAGCTACAGAAATTGAACTATGCATGCCTATTACATAACAGGAATCAAAACCAAGAAGGGAGATTAGAAAAAAGAAAAAACATGTTCATTCAGAAAAAACATCATTAAAATATACAATCTGATCAACTAAAAACCCCTCGGGTTTCTGAAATTACATCGGTTACATGTGCTGTCTGAAAACCTAAAATGATTGCCTTACCTAAAGACTAAGTAATTCTGAGATTTACTTCCTTCCTGCCTAACTAAAGAAGTGACTTTTCAAGAAAGCTTGGTGGAAATCCTTTCAAGGTGCACTTTGTTGAAGCACAAAGGGAACTGTTAAATCTATGTTCACTCCGGTACTTTTCAACAGCCATTAACAGTAACAGTGGCAGGTTCAGTACGGGAGGGCTTCCAACTTTCTGTAAGATCCTTTAGCTCAAGTTTCTCAGCTGTGAAATATTTTATCCACCCTAGAAGCTTTCCCTTAAATTCAACAGTGTGATGTCTAAAAGCAGTTTACTACTGTTCACTTCCAATGACAGTCGGAGACCATCTACCTTTCTTAACATGAACAAAGAAGTCCCAAGCAGTTCGTCACCTCTCTGTCCTTTAAGGCACGGTTCTTTCTCAATGATGTAAGGTGCTTTATATATTTATGAACAATAACCTGTCACACCTATACCCTAACACTTTGGATCCTTTCATTTCTTTAACTCTGGAATGTAATTCCCTGTGTGGCACCTTATTTCTAATGTAGAAAAATTTAACTTATCAAGCACAAAATTTTGAGTTTGAGGATACAGTTTATACTACTGAATGTATAAATGTATTCCACTTTTGAAATGACCATAATCCACCTGACACTCATTTGGCACACACTCTTCTCAATTCTGGTCACTAAATTGTATCTTGGGCTTGCATGAAAATAATGCGGCTCTGAGGCTTTAAATGACTAACCTGCAAAGACTCATGAGGTTGTCTATATATGACAACATTTTCCACCACTTAGAAAAAGTTACATTTGGCATGTCAAGAAAAGAAACAATCCCACAGCAGCAGCCATTTAAAATAAAAGAAGACAGCCACAAGGATTCATGCAGAATATCGTAAATATTCCTGTTGAGCAAAATGGTTTAACCTATTTTTCTTCCAGATCGATGTTTCAGCGCATCCTGTATGCATCCTGTGGAAATGTAAAGATCCTGGAATAGTGTCTTCCATGTGGGACTTCTTCAGAAAGAGTATCTTGGTTTCAGTGAGTTACTCAAACGATTCGCCAGTCCTTGTTAATTTAATGGGTCTGTTTACAGAGTGTGGTAATTTCGTTCTTTAGATTTGCAGAATTTATAGAGAAAGAAAATTACAGCCTGCACACCCAAGACAAGGACAATTCCTCCAATGAAACTGGCTGCATCAAAGGTGGACTTCCGCCCGGGTGATAAGGTTGGGGTGAAAGTGGTATTTGCTGCACCTATTAAACATAAAATAAGAAATAACAATTTTTACTAAATCTGCCAACCCTCTATAATAATTCAAGAACCGACCTGAGCTTTTTTGTCACATATTAAAACTCACACAGTATTTCCTCTAGCCAAATCTTGATGGCTAGACTTCACCACTAATACAGACAATAAGCTTTCAAAAGCATCACTCTTCATTTCTCCCAGGGACAAAAGGGAACGAGACTATTATATTTCAGGGCCCGGCGGCGTGGCCTAGCGGCTAAAAGTCCTCGTTTTGAACCCCCGGGATCCCATATGGGCGCCGGTTCTAATCCCCCAGCTCCACTTCCCATCCAGCTCCCTGCTTGTGGCCTGGGAAAGCAGTCGAGGACGGCCCAAAGCTTTGGGACCCTGCACCTGTGTGGGAGACCTGGAAGAGGTTCCTGGTTCCCGGCTTCGGATCGGCATAGCATCGGCCATTGCGCTCACTTGGGGAGTGAATCATCGGACGGAATATCTTCCTCTCTGTCTCTCCTCCTCTCTGTATATCTGACTTTCCAATAAATAAATAAATCAATCTTTAAAAGAAAAAAAAAGTATTATATTTCAGAGACAAAAATTTTAACATGTAAATTGTGTTCTGGCAATTCATCAAGCATTTTTAAGACACATAATAATTTCTTTAGACTACAAGTTATTGGTTAATTACTTGAGTACATATCAGTATTTGCATTCAAAATTCATGAGATTTAAATTGCAGCAGGTGTCACAGGGTTGATAAAATTTAGTTGTAGTAACTGGTGTTGTGGTCCAGGGGGTAAGGAATCACTAGTAATCGCAGCATCCCAAATGCACCACTTCCAATCCAGCTTTCCACTAGTGCACCTGAGAAGGCAGGGGAGACGGCCCAAGTACTTGAGGCTCTGCCACCATGTGGGAGACCAGCAGAACATTCTTCCTTCCTGCCTTTGGCCTAATAGTTTCTGTGGCTATCTGGGAGGCGAACCAACAGAGGAAAATCAATCTGACCTTGCCTTTCAAATAAATGAATCTTTTTTTAAAAAAAATCAGTTACAAATTTAAAATTAAAAGAACCTTTTCTACAACTTACAATTTCAATGAACAGAACAATGTGTAATTAAATAATATTTAAACATCAAATTTTACATGTTGAGAAGGCATTACCAAATGATATGGAAAAAGAACATAAACATTAGAATTTTTTTCAGTGCAAAAATGTTTTAAGAGGAACAAAAAGACTACAAAAGCATGATCTTTTTTAAGAAAAAGTAATTCCATGCTTAAATTCTGTGGCGTAGAGGGTAACACTGCAACCTGCAATGCCAGCACCCCATCTGGGTACCAGTTGGTGTCCTTGCTGCTCTTTCCATCCCCGTCCCTGCCTCCCACGTGGAAGACCCAGACAACACTCCCGGCTGCCAACTCTGGCCTGGCTCAGCCCTAGCTATTGCAGCAACTTGGGGAGTGAACTAGCCTCTTTCTCTGTACTCTTTCAAATGATAATTATTTCGTTTTTTTTTTTTTCTCAACAGAATATCAAAGAACACTGGATATGGTTGTTGTGACAACTGGCTAAGTTTATTTTAAATACGGCAAGAAAAAATGATTACAGACTTGTTTAGGTTATATTCACTCAAATTGCCATTGTCTCAAAACACAACCAATCCCTAATCATGAGAGGAATGAGCAGACTTCATTCACAAGCTGTAAAAGTTTGAAAACCATTATCATTGCGTTCTACTGGGTCATGCTACACGTGATTTCACATTAAGAACTGCCAGAGGGGGCCCGGCGCGGTGGCGCAAGTGGTTAAAGGTCCTCGCCTTGCACGCCCGGGATCCCATATGGGCGCCGGTTCTAATCCCGGCAGCCCCGCTTCCCTTCCAGCTCCCTGCCTGTGGCCTGGGAAAGCAGTCGAGGACAGCCCAAAGCTTTGGGACCCTGCACCCGTGTGGGAGACCCGGAAGAGGCTCCTGGCTTCGGATCGGCATAGTATCGGCCCGTTGCGCTCACTTGGGGAGTGAATCATCGGACGGAAGATCTTCCTCTCTGTCTCTCCTCTCTGTATATCCGCCTTTCCAATGAAAAAATAATAAAAAAAATAAATCTAAAAAAAAAAAAAAAAAAGAACTGCCAGAGGGTTCTGAGGGGTGTTCCATGACTACTGCAAGAACACACTGTTTGGACCCCCTGAATTTCAGTCCATTACAATTCATGAATCAAACTGGAAAATGTAGGTGGAACAGTAAAAGGCACACATCTTAAAGAAAAAAAACCAATTACCTGATGTGGTAGCTGTGGTAGAAGCGGCAGGCCGAGTTGTGGTTTTAGCTGCAATGAAGCAAAATACATTTTAAATTCTTAAATTATTCATTTCTGTTATCTAGCATCTACTTTATGAAAATGAATGATACTTAACATTAACATGCTTTCAAATTTCTGAATAAAAGCTATATTTCAGTTAATGGTTCACTAACATGTCCACGCTGAGGAATATTCCATCTAAATTTATTTTATAACATGAAGATGTAATCACAAAATTCTCTCCATGTTAAGATCTATTTGTATAAGTATATATTCTATGCATATGTATCTGGATAAAGTCTTCAAGAAATATCCAGAGAGGGGCAAGAATATTTAGATGAAAGGACTACAGACTCTCCTTAACTTAGGGGCTGGTAAACTTTTCTTAAAAGCACAGAAGGCAGGGTCTGTCATGGCCGGTTAGGCCGCTGCCTGGGTCTCAGCTGCTTTATTTCTGATCCAGCTCCCTGCTGATATGCCCAGGAAAGCAGTGAAAAACAGCCCAAGGGCATGAACTCCAGCTACCCACACGGGAGTGCAGGATGTCTGGAACTTCCAGGCTCCTGGAATGTTTTAACTATTGCGAATAAACTAGTGGATGGGAGAGCTCTTGCCCCTCTCTGTAACTAAGACTTTTCAAAAAAAGAAAAAGGGTAGAGTATGTTTGATTCGGTGCACTATATAAAGCAAAAGCAGCCAAAAACATGAAAATAGGCAACTGTGTTCCAGTAAAGATTCATTCATCAATTTGGAGCCCACAAGTAAGATCTAGTAGATCACTGTGCATGAGGCCAAAACACTTGAACTGTATAATTACTCTAAAGAAACACATGCTCCAAGAACCTCTGAATGTAAAATAACTGTGGGAACTGAAACACTATTAAGACAGGAAAGTCCCAGGTGTGATCTCTAAGGATTCTCGAATCTCTACGAGAAAGGAAGGACCTGGACAGTCTGAACAAAGTAACACTGTTCTACTGTCACTCAACCACTGGGCCACCCAGTGCTACTGGAACACCTGAGAAGTTTTCACTTAGCTAGGTTCCTTAGTCAGGGTTGAGTTTTTTAGGAAGAGGGCACTGCAGAGGCAAGGCTCTCCAGCAATCACTAGCTGGAAATTGCTCCTCACAGCAGGGCCCCGGAAAGCGGGTTCCTCAAACATTGTAACACAGGACCTTCAACACAGAGGGGTACTTATTACAGTGGGCAGCAGGCAAAGACTTGCATGGGCACAGTGGGGGAAATTAAGTCCACGGAGTTTGTATCATTAGGAAAAATGCAAAGTGTTATACAACATTAGCTTTTACGCTATTTCAGAAAAACAGGATTTAAAGGCTAGAGAATTAAAAACTGTTTTCTCCTATCAGTACTGCTACTAACAGAAACTAAGCACCTGGGGTTTGCGAACACTACTGATGGATACATGTGTCCCTGCACCCCTGCAAGCTGGCTCCTTCCTCTGCTGCTTCGGGCTGTGGTACATGTCCATCTCTCCTGCATGTCACCCCACTGCTCTCACCTGCCCCCCAACAGCAGCAGCCTCCCACAGGAGCCCAGAGTTGGAGGGAATCACTTCTTCAGGGCGCCCACTTCTCTGCAAGGTTTTTGCTGTTTATGTTAATGGGAGGTGAGGGGGAAGCCTTTCAAATTCAACGCATATAAAATTCTCAGTTTTTAAAACACAAACACCAATTTTCTGACCCCTCTCGATTTTCGGCTCTCAACCTGCACCCTCAAAACATGGGAGAATGAAACTCTTCTTCTTCACCAATAGGCACAAACATTTACACATTTTTACTACTGAAAAATGTGTTACACAGACAACATGCTCAAAATAGGGCTCTATATTAGGAACACTCATCTACTGATCTATTATATGTTCTGCGTACGATAAAAAATTCCTAAGTTATAAAAGAAATGGATGATACCAAACTATTTAATTAATGCCATCACTCACAATTTTTTCCCACAAGGTTTCTCTTTACACCTATGATAATAAAAACTGAAACAGTACCGAAATTGCTTTCTACAACTGTTACAGTTTATCTTCACTTAATGTATCAGGAGCATTTTTACCTCTAACATAATTTGGTCACTCTGTTATTATGCATCTCTATTTTATTTATTTTTACTGGGGAGGGCTATTATAAATTAACCATATGGCATACCTTTTTAACATAAATCAGATCCTGTCTGCATTGCTTCCTAGGCCATCCCATAATTTCCCACTTGCTCTCTTTAACAGAAGCAACTTACACATGCCAAGAAAACAATCACCTAAAGGGTCGTTTTTCAGTTACTAACTGCCAGTTAACTGGTGCAGGCCCTGACTTCCTTCCCCTTGGCAGAACCAAAGACAGATAAGAAACCCGTGGTAGTTTCCAGGAAGGAACCAGAGAGAACTGTAACAAGAGGGGACCCACAACAGTTTTGGGGACATGTCTGCAACTCTTTTTGTTCACATCCCACTTTCTGGAAACTAGTTTTCTCCTGACATCAGTACTGCCATCAGCTTTCACATCCTCATCAACAATGACCTCTAGGGCCCGGCGGCGTGGCCTAGTGGCTAAAAGTCCTTGCCTTGAACACGCCAGGATCCCATATGGGTGCTGGTTCTAATCCCCCAGCTCCACTTCCCATCCAGCTCCCTGCTTGGGGCCTGGGAAAGCAGTCGAGGACGGCCCAAAGCCTTGGGACCCTGCACCTGTGTGGGATACCAGGAAGAAGTTCCTGGATCCTGGCTTCGGATCGGCATAGCATCGGCCATTGCGCTCACTTGGGGAGTGAATCATCGGACGGAATATCTTCCTCTCTGTCTCTCCTCCTCTCTGTATATCTGACTTTCCAATAAATAAATAAATCTTAAAAAAAAAAAAACACAATGACCTCTAACAGACACTGCAAACTAAGGAGCCCATCACTGTGGGAACAATTGGCTCAGGGTTAGTTGCGCAGTCATTTACAGACTTGCCACGCTCTTAAGTGTGGCAGGTGATACTGACACACCACACTAGGGTCTGGCACTGGGAGGAGCTGTGTAGAACCACCCAGCTGTTCTTGTCTTTGAAATCCTATATTTACACATGTTGACAGCATTTTCAGACACCTTTCTCTAGCCCTTCTTCTAGGCCTGCCCCTACTGAGTTTCCTCTCACTCCTGAGACTTACGTTTAAGTTTGGTTCTCCAGCCCAATCCTTTCCCCCACTCTACTTTTACAGAGTATGCTGGCTGAAAATCTATACTTCTAGCCAAGGGTTCTTTCCAGTCTTACAATTTCTAGAATACTGAACAGACTCCACAGCATCTGTAAGAAGTCTGCAGACACCACACAGACCTATGCAGGATCTGTTGAAATTGCCTGAGCAGTTATCTCTGTCACATACAGTACATGCTCATGCAATTATTGTAGCCCAAGATGAAGTCAGTCCTAACCAATTTTCAAAATTATACCGACTTTTAGGCACTTCAGAGCATAAAAATCAAGAAAGATAGAGAAAAAATTCAATTATCTTGTTTACCTGTAGAAGCAGTTGGCACTGGAGCAGTGGTGGGCACTATAAAGAAAACAGAAACCATACACATCAAAGCTGTCCAAAATATTACAATACAGCACTACTTCCCAGCCTGCAAGCATCTGAATATCATCCTCACAATTTAGACAACATTTTGTGCCACTTGCAGACTACTCACAGCTGTCCCAAAACAGATCTCCCCTTAGAATCAGAGCCTCTGTTCCCCACAGGAAAGACCCAGCTCAGCCTCCCATCACAGTCCTGCTTGACTTCCAGGAAGCACCCTGCAGACAGACAGGGCTCTTTCTCTGCCTTCGTCTTCATATCAGCAGGAAAAATCAACGGGATGGCTCAAACATGAGTGCACACCTCAGACAGGAGGAGCACAGCCAGTTGGAGGGATGCTAAGGGTGAAAACCTGAGAGAAACCCAAGGCCCTAAGGACTGTGGAGCGCTACATAGACCCAACTTCCTTTATAGAGCACAGAGTCAACCCACTCACTGTTTCAACCACTATAATTGGGATCACAGGATTTGGTCATGACAGGATTTGGTCATGACTAACAATCAAACCTAACTCTAACTGGTACATCATCAAATAAGTGGCATTACTCAATTTTTATTTATACCAGTATTTTTTAAAATGCTGTACCTAATCATGTCTCTAAATAACATGAAATCACAGGTCTGAGAGCTCTTACTAACACACGTGCAATGAAGTGAGGTTGAAGAGTGTCTCTCCACGTGCCATCTCATAATCCATACTATGCATCTCATGTAAGGTGTAACTGATCTAATGCCAACCAGATCTGTGGTGCCCACATCCCTGCCAAGATGGGAAAACCCCACCAGGGTCACTCAAAGATTACTCACACATTCCACAAAACCCCTTTTCTACTCAACAGCTACCTACACACCTAATTGGGAACTGGACTTTCCCAGTTACTTGTAATCTTGTAAGAAAAATCAGCAATCTCAATTACAAATTTTAACAATTCTGCTGGGCAAAGAGTAAAGGCTGAAGATAATAAAGTTCCTCAAACTAGTATAAAAAGAGGATTGAATATACAGGAGGGTCACTTAGTCATAGCACAAACTATACTGGACAACAAATTTGATAATTACCAAGACCCCAAAAGTGCCAGAACAAAGTTGTCCAGTCCTGTAAAATACAACTAACGCAGTTAGGGTCTAAATAGCAGTGAATTTCCAAAAAAGTTAAACAGAAAACAGAAAAAGCAAACAAACAAGGCACAGCTTCAAACACCAGTAAAACAAAGTGATCTGCGGCCAGGAGGGTCCTCCCCTTCCTCCGCTGTTTTCCCCAGTCAAGACTGTAAATACTCACCAGAACAGAACTTTGTGCTGTTCGCCTCTTTGCACTCTGCTGATGAATTATGTGAACAGTAGCTCTTTTCTGTTATGGAGACGAGAAGAAACAAACACCACCAATCATTCGAAGAAACGAACACCACCAATCATTCACGAGTACTACTGCAATGGCACTACCATGATCTGGAGCAGCTTCTTAAAAAACCACACACACAGGCCCAGCATGATGGCTCAGCAGCTGAATCCTCATCCTGTACCTGTTGCAATCCCATATGAGCACTGGCTGGTGTACCAGCTGCTCCACCTCCCATCCAGCTGTCTGCTTGTGGCCTGGGAAAGCAGTGAAGGATGGCCCAAAGCCTTGGGAGCCTGCACCATGTAGAAGACGCTGAAGAAACTCCTGGCTTCAGAATGGCTAAGCTCCAGTCACTTGGGAAGTGAACCAATGGACAGAAGACCATTCTCCATCTCTCCTTCTCTGTAATTCTATCTTTCAAAAACAAAAACACCCACACAGAACCACTTTAAGAGTCACACAGCCCAATAAACACTATTATTCTCCTTTCCCCTTATTCCTGGGATTCCCTCCACATTTTGCTCTTTTAAAATTCAAGTCAATATATTCAACAGACAAATGTGAAAATCCAGATCTCAAAATGGTGGTGTGACAGACTGCTGTAGACTCAAGGAAGGCCACCAGAAACCTACCCAGAGGGCGGGAGCCAGCAGGCTTGGTAAACAGAGGTGGAGCCTGCAGAGGCCAGCAGTGCAATCTGGTCCAGCCTGCCTGAGTCCTCCCAATTTCTTAGGCTTCGTGGACTGCTAGACTTGCAGCAAGAAGAAAGAAGCCTTCCCCAGCAACTCTTAAAGGACAGCATTCAGTCTCTACCGCCTTTGTACACTGGCCATGTATCTGTGAGCATACATTCCAACTTGTAAGAACACTGTGACCTTTATGCAGCATTGTAATGTCTACAGCTATTCAATTTTCACCAAAAAACTGAGAAAATTACATGCAGCTTTAAATTATTTTTAAAAACCCAACATTATTTTGCTAGTAGGGAAAAAAAATCAACACATTATCACATTACATTAAGGAAACTGACTTAGCTTGGCCTATCAAACTTTCTAACGTGGCTTCCGCCCGTCTCAGTGACAGGGCACTGTCTCAGACCCGTCTGGGGAGGTGCCTGTCTGTTCTCACGGATGCCCCACCTCAGTAAACCCTGCTACGTTGCTTATCACTGAAAAGAGGGCAAAGAAAACCTGAATCATTCATGAAAAAATCTGAAAATTTTTTATGTTGTCATCCCATAAACCAACAAAAATTTCATCTCATCCTCATTTCAGGATACTTTCATCTAGCTTTTAATCCTACCAATGCTGATAAATTTAATTCGCTAAAATTTCACACAGCATAGGAAGGCGTCCCCATTCTCTCCAATTCATTCCTCCCTGGTATGGAGGCGTCCACTGAAATCAGCTGTGAAGGCCTCGTCCCAGCTGGTCCAGCAGGCCGCAGCAGACAGGGTCTGTTTCCAGGGGAAAAGCACAGAACTTTCTTCCCACAGCTAATTCTGACACATGAGTGTAAAACAATCGCTCCTCCTTTAAAACTGACTGACCCTTACCTATCAAGTCTGAACATGGGCAATGACATTTTTCAATGTACCAATCACCTGGCATTTTAAAAGAACAATGATTCTAAAACAGAGTGCACACTTGCCTGCTAAAGACATTTTTAGATTTCCAAGAAGATACTGTATATTTTCTCAACTTATGATTTTATTTGTAATTATTTCAAAATGTGATTGTTAAAACAGTCTGATACTCTCAAAATTAGGGCAACCCCCACAACCTCTTACCTTTGCAATCTAACCAAATGCAGGTTACATTATCAACAGTACTATTAACACAGGAAGCACAACTGCCATAGCTGGCACACGTTTCTAGGAGGAAAAATGCATGAAATCAATTAGTATCTCATTTGGGTTTGTTTTACCTATCCTTTTTGAAAAACATCATATATGACACCAGAGTTAATAAATTCAGAGAAATAGTAAAATTGTTTAAATTGTTTAGTAAGAAACTATTGTCATCATGCATAACAGAGCCATAAACAAACTCAACAGGAAAACCAACCAGCAGTAAGCGCACTGAACACCTGCAACTACCCAAACATTCCCAGGCTGAGGGCTACTTAGGGGTCACGGGGCACTGGAAAGGATCCTTGGGGGAAAAAAAGCTGTTACAAGACCAAAAGGACACATGGGAAAAGCCCTGCCCCAAACCGTGGGGGTGGGTGAACCCTTGGGTTCTTAATGGCAATAAATAGGCTATTACAGTTGGAGTTTAAAGTTTGATACTGTCATTCTGAAAACAAGCTCCTTTCTGGAAGAATCAAGACCCTTCAACAAACCACTACTAAAAAGGTGATGCTCCAAAGCGAATTTAACCCAAATCCCTGAGCAACAAGAACCCAAGGAAGAATTCCCACACACAATCTCATCTGCTCTCTGCCACCCTCCAACCCCGCCAACAACAACAAAACTTCTGCAGAATCACGGCACTGTAATATCTCACCCCTGATAGTTACAGCACTGGGCCAGCTAAGGTGCCTGCAGTGGAGGACTGCCAAAGCAGAAAACGGAGGCTACCTCAAAAAATTCTTGGACAACACACATTCTCCTTTAATTCCATTTTTCACAAGCTCTTAGGAGTACCCCCTTAGGTTCCGCACAACTCTCCCTAGCTGTTTCAAATCCTTACTGCTGGGTGACAGTACAGCGGGGCAAACACTATTTGCAATTCACTAAACCTGCTACTTTTCAGACTGCGGCTTACCGGACTATAATTTCCAGAAAACACAAACACAAATTATCTCCTCTGCATGCATTTCAATTACACTAAAGCAATTAGCTTGGTTTCCAAGCCATTCTTTAAGGGGGAAAAAAAAACGGGGGGGGGGGGGGGGGGGGACCCACACAACTCACAAATTGCCAAACAGGGAACAAAAATATTTTTGCTCTATCATCCTAAGAGCAGAGCAGAACCGGGACAATTTCTGGCACTGTGGCACTGTCCAGCGGCAATTTACGTCCCTCACTTTTCAATTTTCGATTCCTACCATTTAATCTTCCTAAGCAGAACAACAAACAAAAGCCAAGAGGTTGCGACTCCTGACTTTGAAACGAAACATCCGTGAAATGCTAGGGGCAGAACACGATCGGCAAAGGAATGCTTTGGTCCAATCGTCACCCCTCGGCAAGCCTTGTCAAGCCAGACAAGCGGCTCGGGGCTAGCACACCCAAGCACATCGAGACTGCAGGTTTTAAAACAGCCAGCTGCTTCTCCTTAACACTTCCAGTGTACTTTCCCTCCCTCTTTCGCGTTGCCAGAAAAAACATGCCAAAATTTGGGTATGGCTAAACCTCTCCTTCCTGCTGCCCACAGGGTGGAACAAAGGTGTGTTCCAGAAAACGCTTACTCCACAACTGACTGACCACACACACACCCCTCCTCTGGGGCTGCCCGCGGAGCCAGCGTGGACACAGGAGCAGCCCTTTTCCTAAATCACTAGGACCACACTACAGGCGACTCGCCCCGGTCTCACTCCGTGCACGAACGAGAGCGCATCTTCTGAACTTTCTCTTTCCCCTCTTCTCGCCCACTTCCGCAGAGAAACCTCTCCCGGGACACGGCCCCGGGGAAGTTCGGCCTCCCCGCCAAACTCCAGAAGCGTTGCCTAGCCTCGCCCCATGCCCGACCACCCCTATGCAGCTGCCCCCGCAGAAGGAAGCCACGTCCCCTCGGGCCGCGCCTGAGGTCCAGCAGCCGCCAAGACCACCCCAGCCTGCGATTCCCCGAGGGGTCGCCAAGCCGCCGCCCCCTTCCCACAGGTCCCCTTCCCTGCCCCGCCGCCCCGAGGGTGGACTCCGGGCGGGCCGCCATGTTGTCGGAGTGCGGTCCGCCGCTCCGGACCCGCGCGCCCGGGTGAGGGAGTGCGGCCGGGCGGAGCGGAGCGCAGCAGAGCGCGCGGGGGGCGCCTGAGGGCGGGCGCCCACCTAGTGCTGGAGTGGTGGTCAGCGGGGCAGACGTCCTGGACGTCGGCACTATTGTGGTGGGCGTTACAGACGAGGCGTTACTCCCAGTCGAAGTTGGGGTCGGGGCCAAGGTGCTGTTCGAGTCCACGCACAGGATGCAGAGCGCGGCCAGGCAGATGGCGGCCCAAAGCAGCCGGCGGCAAAGGCCCGACATCGTGTCCTCAGCGCTGGCGTCCGGGGAGAAGGCTGCGGCTCACCACGCTCCGGCCGTCGCTCCGTGCCCTGCGGCGCCACCTCCAAGACTCGGCTCCCCGCCGGGAGCGCGCCTAGGTCACGTGAGGGCTGCGGCCCGCGGCGTGGAGGGGCGGGGCTCCGGGCGGGGCTCCGGGCGATACCAAGGGGAGCTCTGCGGGGTGGAGCAAGGGCCGTCCGGAAGAAGCCGAGGCAGGCTGTTCGTCAGAGCGACCGTCATAGAGCGATAAGTCAGGTTTTTCTTTTCTTGAGCTCATGGGATCACGCAGGATGACTGGATTTCTTTTTCTCGTAAATGTGAAGGACCCCTACTCTGACTTGCATGGAACAATCCACACGACACGTCACGTAAGGCCGCCACCTGAGCGCCCCAACAGGCTGTGTGTGCGTGCGCGCGTGCCCGCGCCCCCACGTGACCCCCGGGCCGACGCGTCTCCCGGACCCGCGGGCCACCGGGGCGGAAGTTGTTTCTGAGCAACCTTGGCCCACGTTGGGGCAGGAGTTTGTTGAGCGCGGCCGCGGCCCCAGAGGGCTTGCTCTGTCCTCGCTTGGAAAGGCTGACTTTCTTGGAAGTCACTGCGCCTGGGACTCCCTCGGGGCGGTGGAGGCAGCCCTCCCCACGGAGTCGGGGTTTTTGCCGCCCACGCGGCGAGAGCCGCTGAGGCACCGGGAGCCGTGAGCCGCCCACTGTCCGCCTCTCTCCTCCCGCTTCGCCCCGCCTGGCTCTCCCCGGCCGCTCTGTCCCACACCGCTGCAGTCACCGAGTCCCGAGGCGGCGGTGGAGTTGGACGGTCATCGGGTCCGTCTCCCCTCCCCGACTCACACACCCCATGACTAGGTGAGGAAATCGAGACTCAGAAAAGTGACCTGGATATTTTTTTAAGTACCTGTGATGAGGCTGAGATGCCGCTGACCCTTCCAGCAAGGTTGAGCGCCATCTGATGGCCAGTTTCTCATTTGATCTTAGCCACAAGGCCGAGAAGCGATTGGCCAATTTCTCAAAACCACTGCGGGATTTAAAATGCTGCTATGCAATGATTTTTAAAAAAATTTTTTAAAGACTTGGGTAGCTGGATTTCGTGCCTTCTGTTTCAGCAGTTGCATATTTATTATGGAGTTTTACCAGTGCGTATTTCCCCGAAGCAGGCGCTTGTCTCTTTCTGCTGTCCTGGCAGCAGGAGGGCGATCCCGGTTTGTGGCCTTTGAAAGCTCTTATAACCCCCCCCACCACCAGGTTCGGGTCCTGTGGACCCTCTTAACCGTGGACACGTATTCTGCTGGCCACCCTGGCTGGGAGGTAAACAGGAAAGGGATGGTTTGACGCTGACCGAGCTGTGGGACAGGAAGCATGAAAGCGCCGTCAAGCGCAGAAATGAGATGTTTCCGTGGCCAGCCTTTTCAGCCAGCAACACCTGCTTCGCAAGAGGCCGCACACACTATCTTTAGCACATGACCCTGTGACCCACCCCCCCTCGACTAAATGAAGGCACCAGTCAACTGTTTTAAACATTAAAATTATAATAGAGGTGGGTGTTGGGCACAGCGGTTAAGACACCTCCCATGCTGGAGTGAGCTGGTTTCAGTCCCAGTCATTCCAGTTTCCTGTTTCTGCAGACTGGTTGCAGAGAGCAGGCAAGTGACCCGGGGACTTGGCTTCTTGATGCCCACGGGGATGACCTGCATTGAGGTCCAGGCCCCCCGCTGCAGCCGGACTCAGCTTTGGCTGGTTAAGGTATTTGAGCAGCCCACAAGTGGATCTTTGTTTCTCTGCTTTTCAAATAAAATGAAGAAAGAATCATTGAAAGTGTGTGTATATATCGGAAAAGTTCTGTTTCCTCTGCATTCCTCAGTGGATTATCTTGCTTTTCCTCCTAGGATGAACACACCCACCCCATTGTTTAAACAATATATCACCTGCATGTTCACCTCTAATCCTTGGATTTTCCTTACTCCTGATAAGGAGACACTCATTCCATTTCCTTTTAAGACTGGAAAACTGTTGGCTTATTTTATTTGCATAGGAGCTGTAGAACCAGAACAAGGAAGAATACCACAGCCCTTCTCACGGTCCAGAGGAAAGAGAAACAGCTTTACTTTCATTTCCCGAAGGAGTGGGACTGCTCAGCCTTGCCAGGGTTGAGTGTTCAGGTTGGCTGTTTTTTTTGTCTCTGCCTTGTGCACTAGAGCATGCTTAGCAACCGTGATCTATAGCCAAAAGATGCCAGAAACATCCTACCCGTCAGTCACAACATGACCACATGCCCTCTGGGAGAGACTCATGTGCAGTCATGAACCACCATCCTCGAGGAGGCTTCTGTTGGCAGGGTCAGCTGCCTTCTCAGCCATCCAATGGTTGGTGGGCTGCTGCGGCCTGCTTCTTTGTTAACTGTTGATGGAAAGCCATGGGCAGAAGGCTGCAGCCACTCCTGGCAGGGAGAGTTCCTTCTACATTTTCAAACAAAATCAAACTGAATTGTCAGCTCCTCCCAACCACACACACACTCCCCAACACTCCAAACAGGAGCCTACCTGCAGACAGACTGAAGGATCAGGTACAGAAAGCCTCCTGAAGTAACCTGTTTTAACGGGGAGGCCATCAGTACAGCAGTAAGGATCAGGGAAACCAAGAATGTGGCCAAGAGAAATTTATGCCTGGCACATGGGCCTGGTTTAATAGGATGTCATTTTAGGGCCCAGCACTGTGGTCTAGCAGCTAAAGTCCTCCCTTGCGCGCACCGAGATCCCATATATGGGGGCCAGTTCTAATCCTGGCGGCCCAGCTTCCCATCCAGCTCCCTACTTGTGACCTGGGAAAGCAGTCGAGGACGGCCCAAAGCCTTGGGACCCTGCACCTGTGTGGGAGACCTGGAAGAGGTTCCTGGTTTCGGATCGGCTCAGCACTGGCAGTTGCAGTCACTTGGGGAGTGAATCACTGGACAGAATATATTCCTCTCTATCTCTCCTCCTCTCTGTATATCTGACTTTGCAATAAAAATAAATAAAAGTCTTTATTAAAAAAAATAGGATGTCATTTTAGGCCCAACACCAATACTACCCCATGACCCCAGATCTTGCAAGTCCAGTCTTCAAAGCTAGTCCTGTCTTGTCCAGTGTTCCAGGTATAGTTCCTAGATGAGAAAACATGACTGACCTACAAGAGCTTCTCCCCCCGTCCTTGTCTCTGGCCCCTAGTTCAACGAGCTCTTCGCCAGAGCTCCATGAGCTGTCTTCAGTTCTTTTAACCACTCATTTTTTCTTTTGTGGCCGGATCTTCACATGTGGTTTCCTCTTAGACGACACAGCCCCTTCTGGCACCTGGTCAGTTTCTACTTCTGCATTCAAGTCTCTCAAAATGGTTGTCACTCTTGGAAAGCCATCCTTAAAATCCTGAACAAGGGTGCATGGTGTAGCATGTAAAGCCACCATTCCATCCGGGGGCAGGCTTGAGACCCAGCTATTCCACCAGAGCCACCTCCATACTAATGCACCTGGGAATGCAGCAGGGAGTAGTGCAAATGCTTGGGTCCCTGCACCCATGTAGCAGACCTGGCTCCCAGCTTCCAACGGGCCCAGCTCTGGCTGTTAGCAGCCATTTGGGGAGTGAACCAGTAGATGGAAAAATCTCTTGTCCTCTCTCTCTCTAATTCTGCCTTTCAAATAAATACATACATTTTTTTAAAAAAAATTCCAAAACACTCATGCTGGTGGTTTGGCACAGCCTCTTAAGGCTGCTTTGGGCATTGGTGTGGATGGAGTTACAGGCTCCTGGCTTCAGCCTGACCCAGCCCCTGCCACTGTGGCCATTCAGGGAGTGAACAAGCAATGGAAGATCTCTTATCAGTCTCTAATTGCTTTTCAGATTTCCAAAAAAAAAAAAGAGAGAGAAATAAAAGACTGTTTGGGAGCACAGGCATCCCAGGTAACAGTGCTTGGGACTGAGTCTTGCTTCTGCACAGACTCTAGGTTTGTGCTCATGTGCGGCGTGGTGGGGGCAGGGGAGAGCAGCATGGCATGGCTCAAGTACTTGCATCCCTGCTGTCCACATGGGAGACTGGGATGGCATTCCTGCCTCTGGCTTGGGCCTGCCCCAACCCCTAAGTATAGAGTCATTTGGGAAGGAAACCAGACAGATCTGTCTCTGCTTTTCACATTTAAAAAAATGTAAATAAATAAATTTTAGAACATTGTTGTAAAATCTGAAATTACCCCTTCCTCCCCATCTCCAGGCCAGAAGTGCTCCTGCTTGTGCGTCACAGCACCTTGTATGGCAAAGCGGGTGCCATGTTTCACTGCACTGCCAACTCTCACAATGGGGACAGTGCTCACCAATCTGTTCCCTGCTATAGTCATGACACCTAGCACACAGTAGGTGCTTAGTAGGATTTGGTGGGGGAGGACGTAAAAGAACACACTGGTAGGATTCCGTGGGTCATCCAAAAAGACCTGGTCAAGAGCATGGGAGGGCAGCTACCAAACATGGCTCCTGGAACCCAGTCCCTCTTCAACCAAGGGTCAGGGCAGATTCACTTAGAAGGGATGAGTGTGAGGCATCTCTAATACAGTTACAATATGCAACCTTGTGTCATATCTAAATCAATTTCTTTATTTGAAAGTAGAGTTACAGAGCGAAGGGGATTCAGAGAGAGATTCCATCCACTGGTTCACTCTTCTGATGGCTACAGGGGCCAGAGCTGGGCTGATCCAAATCCAGGAGCTTCCTCTGGGTCCCCCACATGGGCACAGAGGCCAAAGGACTTGGGCCATCCTTCGTTGCACTCCCAGGGAGCTGGATCAGAAGTGGAGCAGCCAGGACTTGAGTCAGTGCCCATATGCAATGCCAGTGCTGCAGGTATAAGCTCAACCCACTATGCCACGGCACTGGCCCCTAAATCAGTTTCAACAAAGGATCAATCAAAAGTTACACTGCATTGAAACTGTGTTGAGATTCTTATTGGTGACACTGCAACGAGGATGGATGATGAAATGTTCGTCTCATTTGGATGTCTTGCATTTTGCATTTGGAGGCATTTGTTGAGGGTTCCCAGGCTTC